CTATCATGTGCCCTTAAGGCACAAGATAAAAATGTAATAAATGAATTCTTTTAATTAATTTTTATTAAAAGTATAAATATTGATTTTGATTTAATTAATTAATTAATTAAAATTATTCATATGTCAATCATGTTAAAATATATGTTAATTTTTATAATGTTTAATATAAATTATTTACAAAAAAATATTTTTATTACACTCTTAACCTGTATCTTTAAGATATAGGTTAGATAAACCCTTAATTATATAATTTTTATAATTTCATTTTATTTTTTTACCCTCACTGAGCTACTTGGGCAAACTCAAGCTTGTCTATGTTCTCAAGATTAGTTCACCTCATTTATAAACTTAGTAATTACCAAATTACTAGATGCACATATGGATTTATAGGGTAATTTCATTCAATAATCTTAAAGTTAATTCTCAATATCAAATTATCAATGTAGGCATTATTGGGCTTTGATAGATCCCCATTCTAAGTATTCTATCCTTCACTTGCACATCACAAATGCCCTTTCCTTGAAGGCCCATAAAATCCTCCAATCATCATTTTTCTGGAACAGCATGAGTTATCCAAGAACTGGGCCATAAGGCCGGACGGAGTCCGCCCATGCTTCCAAATTCCCATATGCGCTTGCTCCTTCTCCTTTTTGTGCTCTGAAAAGGTTCATTGGTCAACTTTGGTGGGGGCTATGACTTTTTCTAAGTCTTCTAAAGTTGAACGAGCTTACCATATACGGGTTAAGGCCATCTATCGTCCCTCTACTATCCAAAATAGTGCATTCTAAACCTTCTACTATGGATTGGCTTCATGTCGCCCCTCTACTATCAATTAACTATGCCTCTCATCCCTGTACAATGCAAAAGCATGCACTTGTCGTCCCTCCGTCCAATTAAACTAATGGTCCTGTTTATTGACTGTTAAGTGCAAACGGTCACACCCGGTTAGGCCTTTTTTTTATTTTTATTTTTGCCACCTTGTCTCGTTGGCCCATCATCATCTTCATCATCATAACCATCACCACGATTCGTCTCTGTCTCCATCTCCACTTCCACAACCCCGACGACGACGTCGTCGCCCACCATCACTCTCGCCCTGATCAAACCCTCACCCTAGATCCCATTCCCTACTGGTCCCATGAATTCCATTTCTTCTCCTCCGATCCCGATGAATTCTCATTTCCGAATGCGCTCGTCATCGACAACGGCCTTGATCTCCTTGATGACCGGGGGAACCAAGTCAATTTCGTCATCAATCTCCTGCCCCAGCGCGTCGAGCAATCCCAGGTATTGATTTGGTCTATTTCTGATGGTAACACTAGCAATCAAAACAAGAACCTGTTGATTTGGTCCCCGATGCATTAACTGATATGGGTTTCGATGTTATTGATGGAACCCATGAATTGGATATGGATGATTTGGAGTTAAATTTAGGGTTAGGGTTTGGTTCTGTAGAGACACACTATGGTAATTCTGTTTTTGTTGTTGAAACTATTGGTGGCAGTGATGTTGAGGTAGATGTTGGTGGTGATGATGATGATTTCCCTGTGGAGAGGAGGGTTGAGAGGAGGGTTTCAGCCTTTTAGGTTTGGCTTCCAGCGGGGCTGCCTCCACTGTTGGTGGGGTTGAAGTCAAACTTGAACCCCACAGGGAAAGTGTTAGGCTGGTTGGCTTTGAGTCAGATTCAAAGGACGATGACAATGGGGCTTTGGCTGTAGATTTGAATTCAGGTGATGAGTATGGTATGGATCAAGGTTTTTAAAACCGGATCGGATCGGTCGGTTGAACCGGTCGGATCGGTCGGTTGAATCGGTCGGACCGGTACTCGGTCATGAAAATAGTTCGATTCACATAAAAAAACCGTTTTAGGTCAAAACCGATCAAAACCGGTCAAAACCGGTCAAAACCGATCAAAAACCGGTAAAATCGATAAAAACCGGTCAAAAACCGGTAAAAACCGATAAAACCGATGAAACCAGAAAAACCACCGGTTCAATTTCTCATGCAATCTTCTTTCAATTTTTTTCAATTTCACCTTTCCCATTCCTTTCTTATACCCATTTTAACCTTTAACTTTAACAAAATTACAAAATTATCAACACCAAATAAAAAAATCAATGCCTATAGCTTGCTCCTCTCATCAAACCTTCTTTATTGTT